TAACTCTTTGGGGAGACTTCTTGGTAGAGGAAATTAAGAAAAAGAATCTTCTTATATAATACTGCCTGGCCCTAGTACACCCTCAGGGACCAAGAACAATGGCCCATTAATGGGTCCCTCTTTTTAAACACCATTTTACTGTTAGATCACTTTTGCAAATGAAAGAGAACATGGGAGAGATTCCAAGTGTAGTTTATGACTAGGCACTATACCAAAACCTCCAGTGGAGAACAGACAGCTGCTGTGAAACTAAAGGGAAAGATTCCCTCCAGCTATTTGTTTTTAAATCTGAAACTTCTTAGCAGCCTGAAGGCATACTTTTGTTGCTGTTGTTGAATGCCATCGAGTCCATTCAAATCCATAGCAACCCTGTATAGGGTTTCTAAGGAGCAGCTGGTGAGCTTGAACCACCGACCTTGCAGTTCAAACAACTGACTTTGCAGTCTGATACATTAGCCCACAGCACCACACCAGGACTCCAAAGACATACTAGAGGACCCATTTTATCACAGAGGCAGGGGTGAGTGCTTTTCTCCTATGTACCCACCTTCTACTAAGACCCTTCCATTCTCCCCATCCCATGAGCCTGACTCAGCCACCAATCCTACAAACCCTCCCCTGTCCTTACAAACATCAGCCTGTGACTAACCACCCCCTCCTCATTTGTAGGCCCTAACCTTTACCCACTATTTCCTCCCAGCCTCCTCCAACCATTACCCCTCTCAAAAGGGTCTGCAATCAGGTTATAGGTGAGACCCATAAGAGCCATCAACTGCCCCCAGCATTCCAGGGACAGGCTTATGCCCCCTGAGTGAAGTGCCTTGGGCAGGGGTAAATTGGGTGACTGTGTGAAGACATGTCTCTTTCTATGTCTGATTTGGGGCAGTGCAAAGAGAAGCTAGGGAGTGTCCATTGTTGTTAAGTGCCATCGAGTCTATTCCGACTCATAGTGATCCTGTATAGGATCTCCAAGGAGTGACTGGTGAGTTTGAACCACCAACCTTCTGGTTCAAACTGACCTTGCAGTCCAGTGTTTTACCCACAGCACCACACCCGGACTCCTTAGTGAAATGCCAAATTTGTTATAAATCTGTCCACACTCATCGGTTCTGTTTCTGGATTCTCTGTGGATTTTCATTATTCTATTTGTCTATTCTCACACCAATAATACATTGTGTTAATTGCCATTTCTTTATAATCAATCTTGATAGTAAATATTGCAAATCCTCCAACTTTGTCCAAGAGGAAAATTACAAGCTCATCCTTTCAGGAACAATACAAAAATCCTAAGCAAGCTATTAGATTTTGAATGTAATAAAATAGCAAAAGGAAAATAGATGATGGCCAATGTAAATTTAGTCAAAGAATGTAAGGTTGGTTTAATGTTGAAATGTCCATCAATGAAAATGCTTTATTAGTAAAATAATGTGAAAACAATACATACAATCATTTTAATAGACGTAGAAAAAGCCTTTGATAAAAAATACAACATCCGTTCATATTAAAATAAAATACATTTAGCATATTAACAATGGAAGGGATAAAGAGTATCTATAAAAGCCCTATAACCAACATTGTCCTTGAAATTTGAGATATGGCAAGATTATCACTTAAGTATTACAATAACCACATAATCTCAAAGAGCAAATATGTTTAATGAAAATCTCTCAGAGTTGTTGTTAACATGCAGTCATGGGATGGTGGAAATGGTCAATGCACCAAGCTGCTAACTGAAAGGTTGGAGGTTCAAGTCCACCCAGAGGCACCTCAGAAGAAAAGCCACTGAAAACCAGACATTGAAAACCCATGGAACACAGTTTTACTCTGGCACACAGGGAGTTACCATGAGTCAAAATCAACTTGATAAACTTCTTTTTTTAAATATAGTTACTATATGTGACCAAGAGATGGAGCCAAAAATTACTGGTCCATATATGCAAAAGGTACTCTAGTGCCACAATAGTTAAGAGCCAGGCTAGAAACCAAAAAGTCAACGGTTCAAATCCATTCAGCAGCTCCTGGGGAAAAAAGCCCTAAACAATCTACTCCTGTAAATATTGCAACCTAGGAAATTTGTGGGTAGTTCTGCCCTGTCATATAAGGGTCACTCTGAGTCAAATTGACAACAATAACATGCATGCAAGAGTGATATTCAAAATATTTACCATCTTATATAGGAGTCCTGGTATGGAGTTGTAGGATAAGCACTGGACTGTGAACTGCAAGTTCAGTGGTTCAAACTCCTTGGAAACCCATATAAGGTCTCTATGAGTATGACTCAAGGGCATGTAACAACCACCACCACCAAACGATTTAGCTAACTCAATCTAATGATAACTAACAGCTCCTTTCACCTGAACATCGACTTTCATTCTAATAAAGATAGGATCCAGAGATCAGGATATGTGGAGATCTAGAGTTAATCATAAAATCTACTCCCCACTACCTCTACCAAACTGTGAAATACTACAAAATACTGTATGGAAATGTGTGAAAACGATGGATACTAAAGTTATCCTAGAGAGGAACTGAGGCTGTGATATTTGTAGTGTTTGAAACCTAATTCTGTCTTCTGAATATACTTCTGAAATACTGTAAAGCATATATATGAAATAAATAAAACAAAGACATTTATATTTTCATAGTATTTAAATATATAAGATTTAGAATTGCTGTTGTTAAGTGCCATCAAGTCGGTTCCAACTCATAGCGACCCAGTATAGGATTTCCAAGGAGCCGCTGATGAGCTTGAACCACTGACACTGCGGTTTAAGCTGAAGCGGATCTTGTAGTCCATCACATTAACCTACAGCGCCACATAGAGGATAAAAAAATCAAACTTGTAAATATTACTCAAAACACGATAAACATTTGATCAGATCTTCACTCAGCTCACTTTCCATACTCTTTGGGAAGAAATGTACAGTACATCTACTGATGAAGCATATCTAAAAAGGGTAAGTGTCTGTCATCACTAATAAAATGACCTATTGCATTACACTCTTTGAGGGGAGATGCTTTTTCCTATTTTTCTACTGTAGATTCACTTACATGATTGTTCAATCTATCCTTTCTTTTCTGTTTCTAATGTGAACTCTAGAATCTGTCCAAGAAGGTAAGAACATACATGATTAAAATTTAATAAGTGGGGCTGATCTTTTAGATATTTGGATCATTGTCACAGTACATGCAAAAGACTCTAAATTGTGTCAAGTCCAGACACCTTTTCCTAGAGGTAGGGAACCATCATACAATAACATAGAGTCTGTAAAACTTTCCTGTGTATCCTCAATACTCTGTTTACAGACTCTTTATTATTGCATGATGCCATTTTCACAGACTATGCATTATTGTATGATGATTGTTGGATAAAATAAAGAATCCTGATAGCACAGTGCTTGGCTAATAACCAAAAGAGAGTGATTCAAGCATACCAGAGGCTCTGTTAGGAAAGACTTGTAGATTTTCTTTCATAAAGATTGTTGTTGTTGTCATGAAGTGCCATCGAGTCAGTTCCGACTCATAACGATCCTGTATAGGGTTTCTAAGGAGCAGCCGGTGAGCTTGAACCACCAACTTTGTAGTTGGCGTTGCAGTCTGACGCATAAAGATGGGAGTCTTTATGAAATCTTATGGGACAGTTCAACTAGGTCATACAGAGTCACTATGAGTTGTAATCAACTCAACAACACAGAAAATCAACAACAATTTGTGTATAGAAAGCACACACATACACACACAAAAACTCGGACACAACTTGCCTTTCAGTTTAGAGTTAAAATTGCTATTCTTCCATGTGGCCAGCTGAGAATAGCTATTATAATGCTGGTAAAACATGATTGAGCACCAAGAAGAAAATATATACTGATTGGGCAATAAAATGTTTTTAGATCAAAGGTCATTAAACAAGAGACATATATACATTTTCCATATCCTAACCAAGAGGACAAACTTCTGTATAATGAGGTGTACAATTAAAGAAACATACTATGAGGCTGTTAAATGGATTAGATAAGTGAACAAATAAGGAGAGGCATTACACAGAGCTGTTTATATTAGACTGTCCTGTAGAAATAAGAATTTGTTCTATTTTCTCCAGAACAGTATAGATAATGACATCATGCACCTGGCCATCTGAGGATGTCCCATCCTAATAGTGATGCAAATAAAATTAGCTGCATGAGGGGCTTCCAAAAGTTTGTGGAAAACATCCATTATCTTTTCATTCCATTTTCCCATCAAATTTTTGAAGTCCTTTCATATAACAGTCATACTGACAACAGCAGAAAAAAAGACTATGCAAAGAGAAAATGAAGTGACCTCTTATTATCTGATCATTTTGTGACATAATTTAGTAATATCAATCCTTCAATTTTAACAAATCTCAGAATAATTGATAGTAAATCATAATTGATTATTAATTTTTAAAATTAATTAGAAAAGCAAACAAACACAATATTTTGCTAAATTCTATGAATATTCATTATCCATTTTAGAACTGTTTCCATACTTATAGAGTATGGAACCTACATGGTTGCTAGCCAAAACTGTGGAGATTTGAGTTCACTAAGAGATGCCTCCAAAGAAAGGCCTGGGGATCTACTTCTGAAGAATCAGCCACTGAAAACTCTGTGGAGCAGTGTTCTGTTCTGATAGACACAGGGTTGGCACGAGTCACAATTATTTTCATTCCCTTTCAGATGAATAATCAATATTTGACTTTCTACAATATACCTAGGTAAAAATGTCAAGTGCCATGGAGTTGGTTCTGACTCATAGTCACCCACTGTAAATTTTACAAGGAGTAACTGGTGAGTTTGAACCACCAACCTGAAGTTAGCAGTCTAGCACTTATCTTACAGCATCACATCAGGACTCCATAGCTAAAAAATAGTCACATTTTTTGTGTGTGGGGGGGAGGGCAGAGAATGATGGCAGTTGGCAAATGACTTTCTAAAAATGAGAAAGTAGAATTTGAACTATGAGAGGACTACATTTTCCTAAGCCATGTTCCACCCTTGCTCTTGTTCTCTGCCTAGTAGCTTCTTTACTGCTCCTTTAACATCCTTGTTCCTCAAGGTATAGATAAGGGGGTTGAGCATTGGAGTTATAAGTCCATAGAAGAGTGCAAGAAGCTTGCCCTTCAATTTGGCTGAGCTACTCTTGGGTGCCATATATGCATAACCACTAATGGCTGAACCATAGAACATAATGACCACCAGCAGATGAGACCCACATGTGTTAAAGGCCTTCTTTCGCCCCTCAGGTGACTGAATCCTTACTACAGCTCTGACAATGTTGATGTAAGAGAATAGAATTAATCCAACTGGGATAACCTTGATGACCACCACAGCTGCATACATTTCCACTTCATTAATCCATGTATCAACACATGATAATTGAAGCATAGCAGGAACCTCACAGAAGAAATTCTCTACCCGATATTGACCACAACGAGGTAACAAGAAAGTCAACACTGTCTGCACCAAGGAGTTGCTGAAACCTGTCACCCATGCCACTGCTGCCAGTTGTCGGCAGAGTCGAGAATGCATGATAACTGTGTAATGGAGAGGTCGACATATAGCTACATAACGATCAAAGGCCATTACTGAGAGAAGTACACATTCGGTGGATCCTAGACCAAGAAAAATGAAAAGTTGAGCTACACAGCCCACGTAACTGATATTTCTCCGGTAGCTTTGGATATTTACCAGCATTTGGGGTACAGTGGAGGTGGTATAGCAGAGATCCAGAAAGGAAAGATTAGCCAGAAAGAAGTACATGGGAGTGTGGAGTCGGGGGTCAAGACGAGACAAGATAATGATGGCTGAATTCCCAATGATTGTCATTATATAGAAGATGGAGATAGCCACAAAGAGGATCAGTTCTAGTCTGGGCCATTCAGAAAAGCCCACAAGAACAAAGCCAGTGGGGTGATGGAAAGTATTGTTGAATCTGCTCATGGTGGTGACACTACCTGCTGGAAAAACTGAGGTCAGAATTTTGGTAACCTTGTTATCCAGTGCTTAGAATTTAATCTTGGCTCAGGAACCTCTGTTCAACATAGGAACTGGATAGGAGATGCTGAAAGAAAACAAATAGTCAATATTTGTATTTACTTTTACTATCTCACTAAGAATGAGCACTAATAATTATTTATCTGCATTTTGAAAACCATGTCTATGACTTTCATTTAGTAAACTCAGAGTGTACAAAGTTAAGGAGATATTACAAGAGTTAAGATAGTAACGTTTGTTATAAAATGGTGTTGGATCTGATAAGATTGAGAAAAATTGAGACTTCATTGTTGTTGTTAAGTGCCATAGAGTCAGTTCCAACCCATAGCAGCTGGTGAGCTTGAACCACCAACCTTGCAGTTCAAACAGACTTTGCAGTCCAGCGCATTAACAGACAGTGCCACACTAGAACTCCATATGTACTTCATTGTTGTTGTTAAGTGCCATTGAATCGGTTTCAACCCATAGCGACCCTGTATAGGGTTTCCAAGGAGGAGCTAGTGAGCTTCATTAGAGCATCATTAAAGCTCTAATTTATTCACTATGGTTACTAACTTAACTCCTTTCCATTCACTTCACTGTTCACTGCTTCAGCTCACTTAATTATCTTACTGCTTTTTAAGGCATTTCTATTATGTTGTTATTAAGTGCCTTCATTATAGCAGATGAAAATTTCAACATAAACAAAAAAACATTTTTGTCAAGTAGATTCTGATTCACAGTTACCCAAGAGGGCAGAGTAGAACTGCCCCATAGGACTTCCAAGGCTGTAATCGTTACAGAGGCAGACTGTCACATATTTCTTCCATGAAGTGACTGGTGTGTTTGAACCACCCACCTTTTGGTTAGCAGTCACGAGTTCAACCACTGTGCCCGCAGGGTTCCTTAAATGGAAATTATCACTCATGCACTATACATGAGGGAAGGTAAATTGTATCATATTTCTTCTTTCTATAATTAAATTAATCTGGATAAAATTTCAAAGACCCAATGCTATACATTCATGGAGCTTCTTTAGTACTACTTGTTATGATATTTAACCAAGGCAGATGCCTGGGTGGCACAAATGCTTTCCACTCAACTGCTAAGCTAAGGACAGGTGGTTGGAACCCATCTAGAGGTATCCATGGAGCCTGGCCATCTGCTTCCTTAGGATCACAGCCAAGAAAATCCTATGGAGCAGTTCTAGTCTGTAACATGTGGGGTCACCATGAGTCAGAACCAACACAAGGGCACTGAGCAACAACAATTAGTAGGAATTAACATACTTAGGATGAATCACACAAATATTTTTACTTATTGCTTATGTAGAAAACATTTATATGTATGCAATAGAATACATATTTATCTCCAATAACATGAACCATAAAAAAATGTTTATAACTTCTATGATGATCTCACCATTTGCTCCATTTGACCATACCTCCTGGCAGAAAAAAAATGCTGAAAACAGATTTTCCAGTAAAAAATCTTCAGTATAATATAATGTTTTGTTGTCTGGGAAAGCATATCTATAATTGGACTTTATGTCTCAAAGTGGAAAGAGCTATGAAAAATATTAAACAAGTCTCTGGTGCAAGCCCTGGGTGTAACAATTACCAAATATGTAATAACAAACTATCTATGTGCTCTGCTTCCCTCATCAGGAAGATACATATAAAATACATAATTCAAGTGAGAATGTTTTTATTTAAACATTGTATTATGTACAAAAATATGTATTAATATTAAATAACAATAACAAAAACAATTGTTGTATTTTATGTTTAGCATCTAATTTAATTCTTACACATTCACTAAATATATGATTTTATACCCAAGGACACTGCGTTACAGAAAGTTTGAATAGCTTGCCTACAATCACATAGCTGGTGAATGGCAGAGCAGTCATCAAATTCCTAACCTGCTTAAGAGAAAGCCCTGTACCCCTAACTACACAAGAATTAATGAATAAACCTTTGATGCACAGAATGGAGTCCTGGTGTGGCACTGTAGGATAAGCACTGAACTGAAAGGGCGGCTTTCAGTTGAATCACAAAGTTAGCGGTTCGAATCCACCAGCCATTCTTCTGAAACCCTATACAGGGTCACTATGAGTCCAAAACAACTTGATGGCACAAAGCACATACCACAAGGTCGGTTAGAACCACAAGGTTCAAACTCACCAGCTTCTCCTTGGAAATCCTATACAGAGTTGCTCATGAGTTGGAACTGATTAGATGGCACTTAATAATAACAACAACAATAATGTACAGATAGACAAGCATTCACTTAGCAATATATATTCTTTATAACATTTTTCACTAGTTTTTAAAGATCCAAAATCTGTCATTTCCAAATACCTGTAAGCCAGAATTCAAGGTCAATCTTTTGTTTGAATTTACAGATGACACAGCAGGACTGTACTCTAGAAAGAATAGTGAGTTGCTTTCTAGCCAGCACAATGAAATAATAAATGAAATAGAGTCAAAATATTGGGAAAAATAAATATATTAGTACAACTTGCCCATAATTACTGTCATATGATTCAAATACTCAAATATCTCATTAAATTAGATTCATAAAGTGAATAGTTGTTAAATAAATGTACAAGGTCAAAAGAGCACTACATAAATATGATTAAATCTTTCATATTAAAAACTGAATAAACATCTCCAAGAATTAAATAGGATACAGGAAATGCTATTTTCAAATGATATAATAATTATGTTCTTTTTTTTACATATATAATCAATTACTCATAAATATTCATGTGCTAAGATCCCCACCATTTGTGTATTTATGTTATTGATGTATTAGAATTAGTAATCATCTTTATGTTTTAGAATAGAGGATTGTTGACTACATCTTGTTTATCCACTGATTAGAATACTATGCAGTTAATAAAGATAATTTTAAATATGCAATGCTTTTTACATGTTTATAATATTTCAGTGCTATAAAACAGGCATAACAAAAAATATGAAAATTTCCCCCAAGTTTAAATATATTTAAATATATTCAGACAAATTCATAAGCAGACATAACAAAAGTGATTATTGGGATTATCTCTAGGTTTTAGATGGTTAGTGATTTTTATTATATGACTTTTTGTGTTTTGTTTTTCTAGATTTTATTCAATAAACAGGCATTTATTTTATAATTAACAAATATGTGATCTATATTATTAAACAAAGGAGCTCTGGCAGCGCAGTGGTTATGAATCAGGCTGCTAATCTCACGGTCAGCAGTTCGAAACTACCAGCCGTTCCGTGGGAGAAAGATGAGGCCTTCTGCTCCCGTAAAGATTTACAGCCTCGGAAACCCTATACAGGGTTGCTGTGAGTGGAAACCGACTCCACAGCACATAACAACAACATTATTAAACAAGGCACCGCCTCAAAGGAGCATTCCCTGTTTAATTCTGACTTATTCTGGTTATAAGAAATTATTTTCATTTTGATTATATTACCATACAACATATTTGATTTTATGCTTTAAATCTTCCCTCTCAAAACCCATGATTGAATCATTCTAAGAGGTAGCTTCTGAAAGTAAAGGCTTCATACTCGTATATTCTGTTTATAGTCATTTTACTTTCTTGGGTAATTGACTCACATAATCAACACTTGGGGATTGCTACAACGATTACATGAGTTGATGTAAAACACTTTTAGCAAAAAAAATGGATAAAATTTATTATTTTTGTTATGGTAATCTTTCCATGGTAACTAAATAATGCTTTATTTTAGTCATCAATTTCTCAATGTACATATCAATAGTATAAATAAATATATTTGAAACAAGAAAATTTTGAAAGTTTAATTCTTTTTAGTTAGTGTATTATCTGGCTAAAAGTTATACTGCTTCCATGTATACATCATTCATGATTCATGATTCATTTTATATAAATCTGATAATTTTTGTATGGAAAAAGGATATCATCAACTACATATGTAAATGTATATGCATGGGTAACCATTTGGACAACACCCAGACCTGAGAGGCATCATGAATGGTGGCAAAGCAATGGAAGTATAAATAATAGGTCACCAAAACCAGATTTCGTCTAATTCAAAATTTATTTGATGGCCAGCTTTATGTCCACCTCTTCAAAAGATTCACTGTTACTTTTAGAAAAATAAAAAAGAGAAACATTCTGGTTTTAATGCTGCTTCTTGGAAAGAATACTGTTAAAAATGGCATTTTATTACAATTTTGAAACTAAACTTCTAACCTGAAGGTGTATTCAGAAAATAGTTTTTTATATCCTACCTCTGGTGTGGCACTTATAGGATAAGCACTAGACTGCTAAGCACAAGGTCAGTGGTCCAAACCCACTGCCACTCCTCAGAAACTCTATACAGGGTCAGTGTGAGTCTGAATGGACTCAACAGCATTTAACGGCAATAACACTCACCTAAAGAAGTGTCTCACTACATCCATTCAAACAGCATTTCCTTGCGCTTTCTTTAATAGTATACTCTTTAACTTCAATAGACTAGGATACAATTGTGAGTCAGCTGCATATCTAATTTGGCCTTGGAATCAAGTGAAGTGCCTGTCTCATAGGATAACCACTCCATCGCAAGGTCTGTTTGAACCACAAGGTTGATGGTTCAAACTCATCAACCATTCCTTGGAAACCCTACATAGGGTCACTATGAGTCAGAACTGACTAGATGGCACTTAACAACAACAACAACAGCAACATGCTAACACAAATGACCATGTAGTACCTCTCACTCCACTAATATCTCTTTCTAGATGAAAACTTACAGATATTTAGAAAATTGATTACTTGGTAAATAGAGCCTGATCCTTTGATTCTTTAAGTCACTTCCCATCTTCTAAATAGATCGCTTATCAAATTTGCATTGGTTTGAAGGAAGAAACCAATTCATGCTTTAGAGGAATTGTTAAACATAAATTTCCTCTATGTCAGTTCTTCTCATAATGAATAATTA